TCTTGAGGGGTTTTCAAAAACATTTAAAGTTAAAGGGGGTTTTCTGATGACACCCAAACTTAAAAGGGGTGTTCTGATACATGCAAAGTTAAGGGGGGTTTTCTAAAATTTAGCCTAAGTCAAATTGACTACAATAACAATCTTTCTTACATGATTGACAATAGTCATGTTATATTACATTTTTGTTATCATTATGCACATACGCTGCGAGTGAAATAGAATCTTTCATATAAATCAATCGTGTCATACTGTAATTGTCTTTTATGCGCACATATAGTGACTTAGTGAGTCATATGTAGATCTTCAATAGCAATCATTTGACTCATACTATATTAACATCCTTTGAGTTATTTCCTTCTTAACTTTTGTCTTTTGGGACTTATAGCGATTTCATCTTATAATGATCACCAGATCCAGGGATATGGATCATCCAAGGCATATTACCGCTGTGTACTTCAAATTGATACTAATGCTAACACGCGTAACTAACTTTATTTCAACATTAGTCTACGTACATGTTTTGTTCCTGATATCCACAAATATGCTCAATTTATGATCTCATTTTTACTTTCTTGAAGCCTTATTGTATCAATTGTTTATGTGATTTTTTTTCCTGAATGAAATTTGCTTGGGATGATTATGTTATCTTGTCCTGGAGGTAATTTGATCTGAGCCATGTGAACCAGAATTTCATGGAAATTCACACAAGATACCCAATTACTCATATTTATGCATGATATGATGATCATACTCTAAACTGTGCCTGTCCACGCTTTGACGTCTCTATCACAGGTTCACCTTCCTGCATGTGCAGAAGTTACATGTGTTGAAACCGATTTAGTCTGAAGTATGTAACTTTTAGAAAGTGAATTTCTAAAGCAAACTTTATTCAGTTTGAAACTATTCTTATGTAATTGTCAACTGTTTGATTTGTTTTAATATAAAGGATTTCAGAAGCATGGATTGATGAAAGGCAAATCAAAGCAGCAACTTGTGGAATGTACATATAGGGTTGCATCTAGGACCTACTTAAAAGTTTGGCAACAAGAACATAAGAAAATTTTCCATAATTTGTGAGGTTTCTTCTTGGTTAAATTATTCCACACTGGTATAGTGAATTACTTAATCATTCTTCCTGAAGTTTTTGCTGCTCTTAATTAAGAATAAGATTTTACTACCTGTTCTCGTAATACTAGCAATCCGTGTATAAATTGTCATGTTACTGCCAAAGATTGTAGACCTAATATATTTCTTTATTTGCTCAATGAACTTGATATATAAACTAACCTTCTGTCTTATGTTTTAACTGGCTATTGATCATTTCCAAATATTTCTTTTTGGATGCTTGAGCTTTGTTGAATTTTCTCTTTCTTCCGGTTTTCTAATTTTCTCCCTTAGCCATGTCATATTTGAGTTCTGAACTTCTGACTGATTTAACTATGGCTTCCATTTGGAGTGGTATCTTTGAACAAAACTATCATTGTCATGATCCTTGACCAATTCTTATATCATCAAAATGGGGTTGTTCATGGCATGACTCAAATGCAAGTGAGCACCATAGCAAATTGATATATTTATTACTGGCTGTTAGTCAAACATCAATTTTCTATGAGTTTGTGCCAGACTCATGATCATGGGAACAAGAAAATTGTGATATACATGTATGCCCAGGATATATGCAATTGAAATGTTGTAGACATATTGAGAAGATTCGGATCTGCAGTTCTGGGTAAGTAATCGATTGATGGTTCGTAGAAATTGGTGCTAGAACTTAGGTGCTACTAATGGATTTTCTCGCTGATAATCCAAGTCTATGTTGCTGTGTATGAAGCAATTACGGCTTCATTCTCTAAGATGTTCTGGTCTATATTACCAGGCTGGCCTTTATTTCATTATTTTTATTTTTATAAGGAATCATCCCTATTTATAATATAAGCCAAAAGGTCAGTTGAATCACACTCTCATAAAAAACCTACATATGCATCTGTTGGGGTTCTTAGCTAATAGAATGAAATTAGGGACTTGTTTGTGTTTACTTTATGAATACTTATCAGCGTTGAGGATAAGGAAAGTTGCACTGTACACTTTGTAATAACCTTGCAATATTACAGGTGCCGTGTTTGCAGTCAGATCCTTCCTACATTCAGTGAGTTGAGCAATGAATTTAACAAGCTTTCTTTTGTCTATGCTGACATCGATGAATGCCCTGAAACTACTGAAAGCATTCGTTACACTCCAACATTTCATTTCTATCGGAATGGAGAAAAGGTTGATGAGATGCTTGGTGCAGGAAATGATAGGCTCCATGATCGCTTGTGGTTGCATTCTTAATGGTAGAAATCTCGTGCAGAATTATGTTGATCGAAGAGCTGTAGTATCTCGTGCAGGAAATGATAGGCTCCATGATCGCTTGTGGTTGCATTCTACCAGAATTCTTTTTGAAGAGTTGAATCACTGTTGTGTAATTTTTATGACTGTATGCATGCAGAAATTCTGTTGTATGATTTTGTGATTTTTATTTATATATTTGCAGAATCCTTGTTGACAAGTGCATTTTATTGACTATAACTGAGATTAGCAATCTGTAATGCTTAAAATAAAAAAAAGTGCCTTTTCTTGGCTCTGAACTACACTGCCCGCGGCTTTAATGATGATTTGTACTTTAAGGTTGTAATGTTGAGCTTCTACAACACCCTATGGGTGTGCGTGTGGGTTTTCCTTTTTCTTTTTTCCTTTTTTTTTGTGTAATTGCCCAAGAGTTATCCATCTTCAGCTAGAATATTTGATTAAAATAATCAATCCATTTATTGAACAATTGCTAAGCACACAACTCCAACAATGATCACCTATACTCTCGATTGGTTAACAAAACAAAGAAATGCAGGAAATATCTCTACAAATTCTTTTTACCAGTGTCGTTTGAGGTAAAGAAACATCCGAAAATAAAACGAACAAGGGGTAGCTATTGTTTTCACTTTCGGTAATTGGAACAAGAACTGTTTAACATCATGTTCAATAATGAATTGCTTAAATTCCGCTTGCATGAAATTAAGATTTAACCAAAAACTGTTAAAATAGTGTTTATAATTTGTTATGCTATACGTGAGCATCCGCTACTCTTACATTAAACCACAGATAGTATCCAATGGAAGTGCGAAAAGAATTGTAGAGAGTTTAGTTCCAATAAGTTAGATTGTCAAAAGATCTTTACGTCGTAGTATTTACATATGAACTACAATGTTGATGAAAAGATAATTCCAAAAAAAAAAAATCTGAAAATGTTTAATTGCAAACTTTGATCTGACTCATAACTATCGAGATTATCTCTATAACGTCAATTATATTAGAGTTCTATTTTAATCAGAAACGCAAATGGTTTCTTTCAGTAGCATACTTTTGTTTCCTGTACTATCCCCTCCACAACTTCGGCAAACAATTCAAAGATCTGAATAAGAAGAAATTAAAGTTATTGATCAATAAGTACAAGAAAAACATTGAGATAATTCAAACTAATTAAAGTTATTGATCAATAAGTACAAGAAAAACATTGAGATACAAAACCCCCCCCCAACAAAAAAAGAAAAAGAAGAAAGAAAAAAGAAAAAAAAGCAGTAAGCAGTGTAGCCAATTGTGATTCCAGAAATTAGTGCTGAAACCTTCCTACACTATGCAATACTCTCAGCAAGCTTTCATTCCAGAAATTAGTGCTGAAATCTTCCTGAACTGCGCAATACTCTCGGCACGCTTACTACGCTTACTGGGGAGAGAAGTTTAGACTGTAGTCTGACAGGTATATGCGCTCCCACCATTGTAGGCTCTAGAGAGAGTCCGATGTACAGTCTTACCCCCTCTTTGCGGAGAGTCTGTTTCCGAGATTCGAACCCGTGACCTCCGAGTCACAAGGCAGCAACCTTACCATTGCGCCAAGGCTCCCCTCAACAAAGAGAAGAAATGAGAAACTGAATTCAAGCCTTACAATTGCGCCCCCAGCATGCTAACATAATAATTCTCCAGTTAGAAGAAAACAAACTTCAAAGTCTATCAATAAATCCTTGTAAACCTATACATTTCAACTATGTCCAGCCCACGAGGCAAAACTCTCATAACACGTGAACCCTCTCTTTCTCTTCAGGAATCCACGCACCATTCGGAGAAATATATGAGATTTAAATCTCTAGCAAGTTTCTCTATTGAATCGTTACAGGTCACAGCATCAGCTGATACGCATATTTTGCCGGAGTAAATGTGACAACTCACTTACAAGTGACTTCTTCACAAGTGAAATAGAACAAGAATGCCGCAGGAACATTGCAAGAATTATTTTCAGTCAAGTTTATGGACAAGAATACACATATAAGTTCCCTATTCACATCTACAGAATTCGCACTCGCCCTCCTGTTACTTCCTTCTCCGCCTTGATGGAAGCAATAATGGCATCAGCAGCAGTTCCCAATCCTTTTCTACCAACCAACTTCACACCAAGTTTCTCACATAGATAATTTAACCTCATCTCATCTCCACCCCTAACCTCTCTCAAATCCAGAGCTTGTTGCCTTGTTAACATTGTATAAACATGAAGCTGCTGCTGCTGGTTATAATGTGACTGTAGCTGCTGAAATAGCAACTTATTAGAATGCTGTTGGTCCGTTTTTGTCCCTTCATTATTATTCTTCTTTATTACGCCGCCCAATGCCACCCTCAGGATTGCTGTGGATTTGAGATCGGATGTTTTCCTTCCAAAAATCACAGAAAACCCACCAAATTCAAGATCCGGTTCTCTGAATAAATCAGCTAGAACCGCAGCACATGATTCTGTGTTCTTTGATAGACTTCTTTCAACCTTTACTTGAAGTGCTCGGGCATTAGCATGATGAGCCATATTGGCTGCCTCTCTCAGACCACTAAGGAAAGCACCGTGCATTGTTGCTGGATATCTTCGCATAGTGGCTTCACCTGCAAAGAAAAGTCTCCCGTCTTCTACGCTTTCTGCCAGGATATCATAGTCATCTCCGGATGCTCCCACGGCGACATGGGAATATGAACCCAAGCTGAATTGGTCTGTGCCCCATCGGGTGCAAACACTTTGTAGAGGGTCTGGAACCTTGATTCCTTGTGGTTCGTATATCCCTATTTGCATATTCATGAATCTATGTATTAGAATTAGCAAGAGACAGGGCCTTGTAAGAGGCTCAGGGCATTTTTGAGAAAATAATAGGCTAGGTAAGCAAAGCTGCATAGCAGTCATTCGTACAGCATTAAAAAACATTTGGTTTGGGGGCAAGAAGAAGAGGATCATTGAAGAAAAACAATAAATGAAAATATTGAGGAACTTACACATTTAATTTTGAGGAACAAAAGAAGAGGAAAGAGGACCAATGAAGAAAAGCAATAACCGGCAATAATGAGGAATTTGCTGGAGTTGAGGAAGAAGGCTAAATAAATGGAGAAAAGTTTAATTTAACAGAAAAGGAGAGAACAGGTGCAACTGAGATATGCTAGGGATTTGACAAATCTAAGAAAACAAAAATTTTAACTTCACATTTCTCGGCAGCACAGTTGGGACACTCATTCTTCTCTTATTTATTGGTTTTATTACACTTTCACTCACGATAATCTAGCTAGTGTTCAAAACTAGGTAATCTCTTCTTCACTGTACGTCTCCTCGCTCTTCACTTGGTTTTTTATCGAGCTATCTTATCATTCTAGATTGCTATGTGATTAATGTTTTACTTTACTCACAAAAACATGCTAGCCTCGGTATTTTAGTCACAATGGGCATATGATTCATGATAACACGGTTGGTGCAGACAATTTTCACTTCTAACAATCAATCAGTTCTCTCTCTCCTGACATATGAAGCAAGACTTGATTGATCAACTACCTAAGAGAACCTCCCAAGACAATTGTGATGTGATTTGATATCATAGCAAGATTCGTAACTAAATCTTCCAGATTATATCTGGAAGCAGCGTATATTGCAGTACCGATCAGAATACCAACTTCAAATGTGTGCATAAGTAAGGCTTTCTCAAAGGTGTGATTGGGTTTATCATGTTGCTAAGGGGTGACAATATTACTCAAGAAGGCTTTTAGTTTACTGTGGCATATACAAATGCTATTTGTTGACAAAACCTTCTCTCGTGTCCCCAGTCACTCAAATTAGGGGTACGCTACAGAATAAAGGCTATTATTAGTTCATGTGAGTCCTCATATAACAGTGTCGTGTCATGTCAGCACTTCTTTTACCCAAAAGATTAGATGAAAATATTCAATACAATTCAATAATATGATTCTTGCACAAGTGTTTTAAATAGTTTTATCTACGAGTACTGACGTGCAAAACATCTATAACATGTATGAACTAGTTAAATGATGGAACTTAAATTATCATTTACAAGAGTAGATGAATCAAGAACATAAAAATTTGTTGACTAAGATAAATTCCTACGGTTTCAAAATGTCCCTGGGATGTTTTTTCAGAATGGATTAGGAATGCTAGTATGGTACCATCAGAACCATAAATCAATACATATTCATACCGATTAATATGGTTGTGCAACCATAATTACTACATATTCATGCAGAAATAAGCACAATGACAAATGCAATATTTTAAAAGGACATAAATAAATATCAGAAGTATCATTTTATGCATGTGCCACATGTCTTGCATGAATGACATCACAATCAAAGAAGTTATACAGACTAACAAATCTAAACCGCACTATATATAACTTAATAGATATATAAGAAATATAAACTTGAGATAACACAAGCAACATAACCCCTAAAGTGTTAAAATGCTGGATTACAACAAAGAATAACCACATAATGCCTGTAAAATAAACAAAACACTTACCCCTGAGAATCTGAAGAACTTGTGTCACAGCATCTGTAGGAGGCATGCTTTCAAAGCTATGTGCTGCTTCCCCTGCAACCAATGCAATCAGAAGCGGTCCACCGGCTACTGTCGCATAACTATAAAACAAAAAGAACTCCCCTCGACGACTCTGATCTTCTGCCAAATGCCCAAATGTATCCAGATCAGTGCTCCAGAAAACATGAGGGAACAGCATTGCAACCTTGTTCAACAACCCAAACCCTAATCTTTTAATTCCATCAAGTTTTCTCTGAGGCAGTTCAGGCACAAACTTTATTGCCCCCTTCTTTAAAACCCCGAGTGGAACTGTACAAAGAACCATGTCTCCTTCATAAACCTGTGCTCCTGAAAAAACCTGAACTCCATCCCCACCATAACGAATCATGTGCACCGTCTTCTCATAGATAATCGGAACATTCTCCGCTAAAGCTTGAACTAACCGTCCATTGCCTCCAGGAAGAAAACAGTGATCCCCGCCCATATCATAAGGATCATCTTGGTCCCAAAATGCCAATGAAAGCTTCGACAAAAGCCCAGCATTTGCATACTCCAAATTAGCCAAATGCCAATTGAACAAGTTCATTTCCTCATCAGTCACAGCATCACCAAATACTTGCCTAAAAGTCTCCAAAGCAGCCCCTAAAGAAACATTCATAGCCACCTCTCCCATACACTGCCTCAGTTTGCTTGCCTTGTCTAAGAGACGATTAAATGCATTCTCCACCTTAATATCAATATCAGGATCAATCAGGCTCCCATCAGGCTGATACAAAGGGCACTTGTCTCTTATCTTATGAAGAGTCGAACCCAACTGCTTCGCTATAATCCCTAAAGGGTTTCCTAAAGTGCCCGTTAACACGCTACCGCCTAAATCAGCAGCAGCAAACTTATTAGCCCCCTCCATTCTCTTAGTATAAACTCTCCCCCCACATCTCTTCCTCCCCTCCAAGACCACAACCTTGAACCCGAATGTCATCAATTGCCTAGCAGCAGCCAAGCCAGCTAAGCCAGCACCAACAATAATGACATTTTTTGGCTTGCTGGGCTCCGCCGGAATCTTGTCTTTGATCGCCGGAGCAACCCCAAAGTTCACATACCCATGCGAAACCAAGTAATTATACGCCGAGTTCAAAAGGGTTTCATAATGCGGAGGAATTACATTGATAAATTGCTCTTTTACGATCCAATTCGTCACATTCTCTCTCCATTTAGAAAGAATATGGTTTCTAATTAGAATGTAATTTACCTGTTCGATCCCACCAACGGAGGAGACGACCCCGGCTTCGATCTCCTCCTCGGTGAGAGAATCGGCAGGGAAGCCGGCGGTTAGGGCAGTTAGCGCTTCGGCAGTGGCGTCTTTGTTGATCACTATGATATCTTCTGAGATGTCAGGATTAGGGTTAGGGTTAGGGTTGTTGGTGGCGGGATTTGCGCCATTGGAGAAGGGTTGAAGAGGAGAGGGGAGTACCTGAGGCTTGCGGC